CGCCTGTGGTCCCAGCTACTTGGGAGGCGGAGGCAGGAGACTCGCTTGAGCCCAGGAGTTGGAGGTTGCTGTGAGCTGTAATGCCACGGCACTTTACCCAGGGGGACAGCTTGAGGCTCTGTCTCAAAAACAAAACAAAACAAAACAAAACAAAAAAAAAAAGAAAGGTGTTCTGTGAAAAAGGTAGGCAGCTCTCCCTGTACTTGCAGGGATGGGCAAGTACTCCCAGAACCTGCAGGATGGGATCTAGACAGGGTCTCACAGTGTCTTAGAATCCCTCAGGCCCTTTCTTACTATTAGAGTCGGGGGAAAGGTGAAGTGTTAACCAGGATTCTGAAACAGTGGGTGTCTTCCCTGGTGTGCATTCATCCCAAGATGAAGGGCAAAGGCTGGTCCTGTGACCTGAAGCCTTTTGAAATAGCCTGGGACTGGTAGGCTGGCAGAGGATGGTAAGGGGGGGACAGCACCCTGCAGGATTAAAGCCTACCACCCCTGCTATGATGAGAGAGGGGCTCCAGATAGAAATGGTCCTGAGCAGGACATGCTGCTGTCTCATTGCGGGGATGGTTTCAGATCTGACTGGATAGGAAGACGTGTCTCAGGTGGCTTTCCTGCTTCTCATGTGTCCCTGTGGCCACAGGTTTGGTCCCCATTCTGCTGTGTATGAGCATACTACACATGTCCCATTCACAGAGCTGCCCAGGCTAGTGGGTAGTGACCTAATGGAAATAATCTGCTTTGTCCCTTTTGTCCAGAGGAATGTTGGGTCCTCACAATTTAAGACAATTGAAGATGACTTGGTGTCTGCCCTCGTCCGCTCAGGCTGTATCCCTGAAAATCATGGTGAAGACATGAGGAAAATGTCCTTCCAGCGGTGCGCCCGGACAGACAAGGTGGGTGACAGCCATCTCTGGGTGCGCCCGGACAGACAAGGTGGGTGACAGCCATCTCTGCCCCTCACCCTATAGGTATGAGCAGGACTTGGCCCACTTTCTACTTTAGTATCTTTTGAGTAAGGCAGAAATGAGATGGGCTTGAACAGGAAAGAACTTTTTGCCCCATGTAGTTAAGAAGTCTAGAAGCATGGGCAGCTCAGGTATGGCTGGATCCAGGTGCTCACTGCCAGCAGGACTTAGTTTCCTCTTTAGTCTTTGCCTTCTTCTCTGTCATGTCTGTTCTCAGGCACACTCACCCTAGCAGGTGGCACAATGCCTCAGATCTGTCTAGTCGGTTCTCACCCTAGAGCAGATATAATCATGTGGCTACAAAGGGAAGACACACTTGTGATGTTACATCTGTGAGTAGCCACAATTTGCAAGGGAAAAGGAAGTAGATAAAATTAACTTTTAACTTATGAACTTAGTATGTCCAGGATATCCTCACTTCAATGTGCAGTCAACCTAAGAAATCTTCTGTTAATGGACTTATTTTACATCTTTTGTATGTGTGCTGAGTCTTTGGAATCCAGTGCATATTTTGTACTTGTGGTGCACCACCCTACCCTGACCCTATCATGTGGATTAACAGCCATGTGTAACTGGTAGCCCTGTGCTGTCCATTCAGAATCTTAAGCCTGAGTCCCACTGTTTCCTATCGGCCAACATGGCAGCATTTGCTGCATGGTCACGCCATGTGGTGTTTCTGTGCCTGAGACTAAACCGTGGGACTGGGCAGCTTGACACAGGAAAATGGAGATTTGTCATCAGGGAGGGGCCATAGGGTCTGCCAGGATGGACAGCTCTTCTGTGTACATGTGGTCCCTCTCATCTTTGGTCTTCTGGCCCCTGGCACATCTCTTAGGCCATCTGAGGGCATTGGGTGTTTGTCATAAACATAACATTTTGCAGATCAGGTTCCCCTGGGAATCTCCATTAAGCTATGGATCTTGTTCATGTAAATGTTCAGTTTCAGAGGCATGCAGTTCCTCTGGGATCCATAGGCCCAGGCCACAACCCCTGGACAGGAGCCATTGTACAGATAGGTGAGATCGCTTCTAACAAGTGATGACCAGGAATAGATATGATGGCTCAAAATAGTTAGTTTTGTGGGAGTTTTTTGTTTGTTTTTTGAGAGAGTCTACTCTTGTCGTCCTGGATAGAGTGCTGTGGTATCATAGCTCACAGCAAATTCTTGGGCCACAGCGTCCTGGGTAGCTGGGACTATAGGCATCAGCCACTACACCAGCTAGTTGTTCTTTTTTTTTTTT